AAGCTTGAGAACAAATCAACTATTTTAAAAACCAGAGCAGGCTCCCAGCACTCATTTGCAGCTTGGATTTCTCATTTCTGTGCAATGCATCTTAATCACTGGGTTCTATTGTCCCAATTTTTTCAAGTTCATTCTTTTAATGTGAAATATACTTTTACACACTTACAATTATGCTCCCAATATTTAGATTAGTATTTATATCTGATGAGAAATTAGTTTTAGGGGTGACAGAAAAGACAGAAGTAGGTCTGCCTGATATGGAAATATCATAATCTATGGATACTTTATTACTTATTATAGACAAAAGCTCATTTACTAAAGCCTTCAAGAATATAGATTTGTCTCCCCCATAAAAAAAGGAAAAAATGTATTTTTAGATCAGTGATTTTTAAAATCCTGGGCTGCTATTTTTCTCATCAATGTTTTGTATTTAGAAACTAAAACTACAAAATTTCTCTACTGAGCAAATTGACATTATGTTTAGAAGCAAAGCTAAAAGAAATCAACAATCCTGTTCAGATTTGGAATGAGTTCAACAATTGTTTGCAATTAAAACATTAAGGAAAACTGTATTAAAATGTGACTCAATACAAAAAACCAGCATAACAAAATTGCTATTTACATAAATAAAAACATATATAGACAACCCAGACTAAAAGCAGTATGAGCCCACATGTGCTTCTCTCTTTCAATTCCATTTGTTTTGCACATAATTAGATTTTTTATGTGTTTATCAGACTATTCACTGTGTTTATGACACTTGCCATAGCATAGTGAGTCAGTATATAAAATAGTAATGTAATATTCAAATATTTTCATATGTACACCCATATACATGCATTTATGCAATTAAGACTTTGTGCCTGTATCTGTTCCTTCTTCAGGCAGAACAGAAATTCCTTATGAAAAGGAGCTATGTTTTACAATTAATGATATTGCTGGTGCTTATTGTGGTATACAAAGCTAGCTGGTAATGAAAGAGTTCTTGAATTCCTTTCTTCATACAAGAACAAATAGGAATGGCATTACATGTCAATCCTATCCACCTGAAAGAGAAAGTGACCACCTTTGAAGGTATCTCTGCTAAAAAACTGTAGGACATCTCCTCAGTGAATAAGAAAAGACAATGTTTCCAAGCCACATGTTTCTCTTTGTAATCAAAAGTTACAATAAGCATATGAAAAGCAAGAGCGCTCCAAAAGAACTCTTTTATCATTTAACCATTATCTCTTCATTTACTATTCAAGGTTATCAGGAATCACATGGGTAACTTAAGATCAGAAAGAAAATGGGCTACCTAAATATCTGCCATCTACTCCATCTAATCTTTAGGCAGCACAATACAGACCAATGGCCTGAATTTTTTTAAAAAGCTAGTGACGGAGATGCTATGAAGTGCACAAATTTAAGACAAAAACATGGGCTTGATCAAAAGAACACATGTCCTGGTATATAGATTTGCCACATACAAACTAAAATAAATCTTGTATATTTTATACGTAGAAGGAAATTTTTAAAGTTCAGTATTAAAATTTAATTGGTAACTTTGACCTTGAGTGCCACTTTAGTAAAATGATAAATATTACAACAGTGCTCAGATTTTGAGATTTATGATCTCATGTTCTTGAAAAAGGCCTAGCACCTCTGTGTTCCTGAAATAATTGATCTGTCTCTTACAAGTGTTATTTTCCTGAAACCAACATCTGTCTTAGGAATAAAAGTACAAACTGATGAAAATACCCTGCTATATTTAAGATATCCAAAAGAGCTACCAGAATTTGCATCTAACACATTACTTTATCTATAAGTAGTCAAGATCATAAATTGATAAATTTCTTAGCACACAATAGAAGAAAAAATAAACTGCAAAGCCATTTGTAAATATTTTCTATAAAGATTAACCACAATTATTAATTAAGAGTGAATGTTTTTTGTTTTTGTTTTTAAATAGGTTCCACACCCACCATGGAGCTTGAATTCATGACCCTGAGACCAAGACCTGAGCTGAGATCAAGAGCAGATGCTTAACTGACTGAGCCACCCAGGCGGGCCCAAGAGTGAATGTTTAAAATGTGCTAACAAGACACACTGCAAACCTATAGATCACATTTTTCTTAGTTTGAATAGAACCCCACATTATATGTTTTCAACTTGGGAGGTTTTCCTTTCTTTTGTTTCTTTAATGCAATCACAAACACTAGCTTCACCAAAAAACTCTCAACCACCATTGTTGATTGCTTCTCTTAAAGATATATAAAATATCACAGAAATCCATCAGAGAAGCAGGGAATAACTGCAAATCTGAAAACAACTGTAATTCTGGAACTTCTAGCTTCAATGGAAAATCAACATAAAATTCTGGCTCTGTTTGCAAAGAAATAACTGGCAAATAATGACTAAAGTTCCCATATTAAGTTTCATGCTCTATCGTAAAGTAATAATTATAATAACGGCACCCCTCCACATTTACTGCATAGCTGGTGCTGTTGTAAGTGCTGTATACCTATGAACTCATGTAATGCTCACAACAACTTTGTAAGGTAGGTTCCATTATTAGTGTCCTTTTAATGAGGAAACTACAGCAGAGAGAGAATGAAAGAAATTGCCACAGGTTAACAGCAAATGAGCACTTAAGTTGGGACCCCAGCCCAGGCAATGTGCCTCAGAGCCATGCTTCTTTCTCACCACTAGATTATTCAGTGCTCTATTACTACATCCATCTACTTTGTCAGGAGCGGGGGATTAAAAACAAGAGAGCCAATGCGTGCAGAAAAAGCATACGGCTATTCATTAATTCATTTAACAATTATTAGGCACCTACTACCCATAAAACTATGCATTAAGTTCCTTTCCAAAAAAAGGTTTATAGTTAATCAGTTTTTTTCTACAAGCCATCCTAAGTGAGACCCTGGGAAGCAGTCAGTGTATCAGCACTTGGAGATGTCAACTAAATTGGCTAGAAAAGATTAAAGGAATTTCCACAGTAAAAGCACTAACAGCAAATAATGCCCCTTGGAGCAGTTTGTCCTTGCTGAGGAAGCCTCAGTTTTGCTAATTTTTTATTTAAACATCTTGGAATGAATGTACAAACTGTGAAAGTATGCTAAATGATAGTTACATCAGGACCAACTCAGCACAGGGCAGTGGTCAAGCAAGGGTTAGCTTTGAACAAAAAAGCTTTGCAACTTACCAACTGAAAGAAGCAAAGATGCAAAAGACAACCAACTCTAAACACATAATTCAAGCCTAACATCAAAAGATACCACAGAGAGAAACAGTTGTTATCACATTAGCATCTACAACAGGCAAGATTATCAACCCTTTGTTTTTGCTTTTTGTTTTGCTTTTATTTGTAAATGTGGAGAAATGAGAAAATGCTCATATATAATTACCATACCTAATGGAAAACTGTATGATATACAATGTGTGTGTGTGTAGGTGTGTTTATGTGTGTACTTATTTTTCTCTTACAAACATAACATATAGGACTCCTTCTTTTGTATTTGTAAGTTTATTCTTCATGAAGTTCTAAAATCTTTGGTCAATTAGGAATACCAGAACAGCAGTACCTATACAGAGCCATCAACTTGAGGATAAACTATCATATTACTCATCCACTTTGTTATATTTAAACAATGTATGAATTCACTATATCTCTACTTAAATAATCTAAGGGCTCCTAAAAATTCTGGCTATAAAGTAAATTGTTAATTGCCAAATGTGTTCCTACTGACACACTATAGAAATTCATTTCTCTGGAAGAAAATGGATTAAATGAAAATGCCCATAGAAGAGAAAATATTTTTAAAATAACACTTGTAAAGGTTAGATCGTTTTCTGAAATAAAAATACTACAACTCACACAAAATAAGAAAAAAAAAATATGCTGACAGTCATACTAAATAGAAAAGAAGTCACTTCTAAACATTATTCCAGAATCCTCTGCAAAGGGTTTTGTGTTGGGAAAGTTCAAACTATTAAAATAAACCAGACCCCCTATTTTTTAAATGGCCTCAATTTTGTTCTGTAGTTGGAAGATTTAAACTGATCTCAGGACATAAGTGAGGCAATTTCTAGCCAGAGGCAACAAAGCTTCTATAAATCTTTTCAAACAGCTCATAAACTGGCATGGCTACCATGGGTGTGGTTTCAGTTAAAAGCTATAATGCTTTGGAAAGCTAAACTTTACAACTAGGTGAACACTGTTTATGATGAGAAAACAAAACACATAATCCAGATTATTTTCCAGCAGGTTTACTTCATGTCCCACCTGATTTATTGTCAAGTTCATATATTTTGAATCCTTTAGCTATGAATACCCTTTACCCACAATAATACGACCATATACATAGCAAATCTTTGGTAATTAAACTGTGGAAGGCATTGCTTAATGGATGAAAAAATAATTATACTAAAATAATGACAGGGCAAACTTCACGATGTTAAATAGAAAACAACTGAATGCTCTCTGCAGACAAATAATTGGTCCCCAAGGAGGGTACTTATTCACAAAGTCCTTAAATTCATTCTTCCATTATAAAATAGTACAGATAAAGGGTGAAGAAAGTATTTTCCCAAATGCGGAGGGTACCAAGATTGTCTAGTTTACGAGCTCCCTCCACCACCTTAGAAAAGTTCATTTTTAAGTGCCAACTTGTTGGTTGGTTTTCTTTCCATATTTGGGAGGGAGAAGGTGGAGGGCATTGGATATGTTAGCATTAACCCAACAGCCTGAGGCTGTTCGGTAAGAAAATAACCAGCTCAGTCAATGGTTCTTGAAAGAGTGTGGTACTGGTGGTTACTCATCATGTGAGCCTGTCCCAGGAAGCACCGTCAGGTAAATGATTTACACGTTAGACTGGCGCCTCCTGGTCACACATTACATACCAAACTGCCAGGAACAAAGGCCAACAATCTGTCTGATTTCTATAGCAATTCCCATATACTTTCCTAATTGCTTAACTGAAGTCATGATTATAGACATGTAATCAGAAACACACCTGGATCCACCTGTCTGGGGCTTCTTCGGAGTCCATTGGCCCGTTTCTGTGCAGAAAAGTAAAACAAAGCAAAACAAAGATTAGATTTCACATTAAATTGTATTAGTACACGGTACTTTGGAAGGCCAATGTTGCACTTTCTCCATTTAAAAGTATGACTAAATTTGATCAAAACACATGGTTCTACAGTTTTTATAATTTAAACTTTTTGCTTCTCTAATAAGTCTTCCACTTGAACATCTATATTTGATGTTGTTGATATTATGCCATAGAAAAGAAACATCTTTTCATTTGCCATCTCTGGGTACGATGACCCAAACCCCCCCCCCTTTTTTTTTTTTAAAGTTGTAATGACTACAGGAATTACGAGAACAAAGCCCAAGTAGCTATTCTTGGTTGGAAAATGCCCCAGCAAAGACATGTAAACTCCAAAACTCTAACTCAGCTATTTCTGAGTCCTGAGAGGTCAGAGACTGGAGAACCTCAAAACAGAGATCTGAAGCTCTGACTTTAACACACACTTAACTGAGAATGGTGTTTTAATTATGGTCACTTGTATCTCAGTACTTGACAAAATAACATAGGCATGCAGCTTGTGAACCATGAAAGTGAATTCTTATCACAGGAAAAGCCGTAAGAAAAATTGTGCATTACAAAAATTAGAAGATGCAAAAGAAATTTTAAATGTTTGAAAATGCATGGTTATGTGTTCAATTTCACATGGAATTAAATTCATTTCCACCTAATAACTATAGTAATCTCACTAATTAATAAGGACTTGATTATCACTTTTTATTACACAACTGAATGAAATGCTGAGTCTATACCATATAATTTAGATTTTCACAAAAGCAATTTTCTCCCTATGTGTGTTGGGGTTTGCGCCTGTGTGTGGAGGAGACTTGGTTTCATTCAGAGCACATGTGGCTTTGCCAAGCACACAGTAGCCACGGATTTTTCTTGGGGTTCTTCCTGCTGTTTTCATTCACAAGTTAAATGGGTGAAATAGGGTCTTACAGCTTTCTTAATGGCCTCGAAGCCCACCCAGCAGACGTTGTTTTCTCAAGGTGAAAGCAAACTGGAGAAATTTTAAAATTTTGTGTTTTTAACCCAACTACTTTCAAAATGGATTTGTAAAATCTGAATATGACCATTAAGATCAGTGTTGAACCTGTATTGAGCAAGACAGATAGCCATACTGGAAAAACTAGTATAAAGAAGGCCGTTATAAGTGAGAAGAAAATGTCACTCTGGGCTTCTTGGTAGCCAAGGCACAGAAAGGGGAAGCATGAGAGTCAAAGATTCATAGCTGATAATTTGGAAGAAAGCTGCTTTCAGAGAAAAATCTCTTTTCTATCTGAAATGGTATAACATTCTTTATAGCTCTATAAAGGACAATGAATGCAAGGGACAATATTTTCAACAGGAAAATATATAATGATGGATATCAGGTTGCTACTTACTTCCTACATATCCCTTCACCTTCTTAATGTACAAAAGCTGTCTTTCTATGTTCTTATATCTCCTACTATCAAAATGCTTAGAGGCAAGAAAGGAATTCAACCTTTGGGTGTAGTCCTGGAATCCCTGAATTAGTACCACTTAAAAATTATAGACTTAAGGGGCGCCTGGGTGGCTCAGTCGTTAAGCGTCTGCCTTCGGCTCAGGTCATGATCCCAGGGTCCTGGGATCGAGTCCCGCATCGGGCTCCTTGCTCAGCGGGAAGCCTGCTTCTCCCTCTGCCTGCAGCTCCCCCTGCTTGTGCTAGTGCTCTCTCTCTGACAAATAAAATCTTGATAAAAAAAATAAAATTATAGACTTAAAATGTGAAAAAGAGCCCTTGAGTTTAAGACCAACACTCTATTACCTTGAAGTTAGGAATAAAATAGAGAACAATTTGCAACAACACAGATGTACCTAGAGGGTACAAACTAAGTGAAAAAAGTCAGAGAAAGACAGACCACAGGATTTCACTCATATGCGGAATTTAAAAAAAAAATGAACAAAGAAAAAAGAGAAAACAAACAAAAAACAGACTCTTAAATACAGAGAACAAACTGGTGGTTTCCAGAGGGGAGAGGGTGGGCTGAGTGAAATAGGTGATGGAGATTAAAGAGTACACTTGTCACTGTATTGTACACCTGAAACAAATATCATACTATGTGAAAAATATAGAAAGCATGGTATAATTATTAAGAACATGGATTCTAGAATCAGACTGCCAGAGTTCAAATTCAGACCTTGTCACTTGGCACCTGCTATTTGATTGTGAACAAGTTAGTTAACATCTCTGTGCCTCAGTTTTCTCACCTATAAAAATGGGGATAATAATTGCACCACTTCACAGCATTTGTGAGAATTAAATGAATCATGTGAAATGACTGGAACGGTTGCTGCCATGCAGTAAGGATTACTAAGTGACAGCTTATTATTATTATTATTAAACTTCACGGTATTTTGACTGTTTAAGTACCGCGCGCTAACCGATTGCGCCACTGGAGCTCCTATTTTGACTGTTTAAATGCACACAAATTACAAACGATTTTCCTAAGTTGTTACCCTACTGCTTATGTTTAAGGTTTTTCCTCCTAAAAATCAGTGAGCCTGAAAACAGACTTTTCTACAGGAAGAGTGGGCAGTGGGATTATGATTTGCTGCATTGAAAAAAAAAATTTTTAAGCTACTTAGACCAAATACCTCTGGAGATTTATTATACTTCTAAAGCACCTATAAAAGTATTTCACATTGCAAGAGATTTTGGAAATGTTTAACAGAGCATATCTAAACAATTTTAAAATGCTAATTTCAATTGTCATTCCGTCATATTCCATCCAACACACTCCCCTCCCCCCCTTGTATTCTCAAAAGCCTGGGACAGCGCTTTTGTCCCCAGCAGGGAGAGGAGAGAAAACAAGAGGGCACCACCCCTGGGAGCTTGTCACGTACAGCTCCATGAGATCAGGAGAATGGATCTTCAGAGCCTTCTCAATCTTCTTGGATCAACCTAGCAGGGGCAGGGGAGGGGACAACCAACCAACCTAATTTTAGAAGCATTTGAGTTATTTCTTGCTTCATTACCTATTACCTTGTCTTTCTCTAAAAGAACTACTTTTATCACCCAAGAATCTCTTCTTGCCTCTTGGGAGAAATTTAATTCTCTGCTGATTTTACCAACAAAATAAGCAAAGGTTCATTTGCTATGGAACTGGCTTCGGTTCCTCTGTTTTAAAGGTGAAAAACCCTTTAAGGAATGGATTTAGAGTACATGTGTGTTAAACAGATACTTTGAATGGATACAAATGATAACCTTACTTCCCACAGCTAGAGGTACCTCCTGAAGGTCCACTCCAAAATGGGATGTGGGATGAACATCCCAGGTGTTGTCATGAAGGCCTACAGATGTTGTGGCTATTGAAAACTGACCTACCTCGAGAATGAAGCGTAAAATTAAAAATTAAAGAAGTCACAATCATAGCTATTGAAAGGGGAAAAGAATAGGACCACAAACTGGTATATGGGGAGAAAGAAGATCTTCACAAGAGCGGGTTGATATGCAGATCACAGAGCACACTGTTTATTTCTGGGAAGACTGGAACATAAAGCACCTGCCTCAGAGAGTTAAATTGCCTTCCATACAGTCTTGGTGAAGAGGTATAAAGTGAAAGATGCTTCTTAACGTTCTTTTGCTACACTTCTCCTTAAACCAAGCTAAGATTTCCAAATACGTTGGCCAGTAACTATAGTTATACATCCAAAATAAACGTTATTAGCAGAATCATGTATTAAATAAAAATTGCACTTATTGTATCCAAAAGTTAAGCAAGTCACTAAACCACTGATGCCGCATTAAGAAAAGTCAACGTGAAAATGAATTCATTTCATAATAGGCTTCCATGTAATTTTTTTAAGAGGATAAAATGCCTGGAGAGAATTATTTAGTATCATGTGAAAATTATTAACCACTCCTTATGAGCACACTTTCTGTAAATATACTCCCTTCACATCACTTAAATAAAATCAAGTGAAATCATCTTCTTTGGGGAAAAAAGTATCTTTTGTAAAGTAACAAAGGTCACAGCTCTAAAAGGAACTTTGTCTCAATAATCTAAGGATAACATGAGAATAAGAGAAGCAAGCTGTGTTCCAAGATCTTCAGAGGCAGCATCCTTATAGTCCTCATGAAAAACCTTACCTGTCAACTAAACACTGAACGAAATTTCACATTATTTTAGCCCTAGAAGAACTTATGTGAACTATTTTAAAAAATATTCCTTGATCTAGATTCTAGACTTTAAAATATAGTGCACTGATACACCAAAGAGGTGCATATGAGCATCCTCACAACACTCTTGACACCCTATGTGCAAATGACACGCTTGTGCAAAAGAGAAGCAGAAACAATCTTATCTGATGTCTTACTGTACTTTTCATTATTTTTACCACCTATATAAATGCCAGCCTTAAACAATATTATACCACTCTTTATGATATATAATAATCTGTTAAAATAATTTTGTATAGAATATTTTTGTTATTCTTTTACTCCGAAATTCTCAAGTTACTATACTTTTGGTTCCTATAACCAATCACATGCATTTTATATTTTAATTTTCTCAGTGATATTATTTTTGGAGGTCAGGTGAGAAATTTGCTACTTTCGGTTAAAGGCCAAGGCAATGGTCCAGAACCCGTCATATTTTTCATTCTTTCATATTTTTAAAAAATAGCTTATTCTGAGAGGTGACAGGGATCACACAGTTCTAAGCCATTAGACCTTAGACTGTGTTAAACCAAAAGAAAATGTTATCCGACCTTGCTTTCATCAATAAGACATGATACAAATCATGTTTGTGCTCAAAACAGAAAACTACTAGAAATATGAATCCACATCCTTAGATGAACAACGTTAGAACTTTTCAGGACTAGCAAATGTTGGGCAGCAATGCAATGTTTCATGACAGGGACAGGTCTACTAATTCCCTGGGATGAGGGCTACCATCCTTCTGTACCAGCAGAATCAAAGATATTCATTCCAAAGAATACAGATGCATTAAATTTTATTTAATTAAATTAAAACTCCAGGGGTTTGTGTAATTCTGCAGGAAACTAGGGAAAAGTATCCCCATATCCGTGCCACACATTGTAACAATATTTGAAATTTACCTAAGTACTAAGATTCTGAAAAGTTCCATTTCACACATATTCTTGAATATTCACATTTTTCCTTTACCTAAGATCTTCAGGCAGCGACTGACTGAAAACTCCTCTGATTTAACCTGTGCATTTCATTCACAAGGACTTGGTTGCTCACTGTAGTTCTGTTTCTATCCATTTTAAGAGGTACACTTCACATTCTAAAAGCTCAAGCCTGCTTAAGTTAGCAAACAACCCAAAATGCAAAAGTTATGTATAAAAAAAATTAAATATTAATCTTACCTCCAGTGGTTTGAGCGTCCCTTGTTCTGAAACAAATGTAAAAATTGGCATTGTCAGTGTAAAGTTATTTTGTTTGGTTAGCAACCTTAGCTTGTTCTCTGCAGCTTGGTAAAACACTGCAGCTTTGTTTCTCTTAACTGATACTTGCAATGTATTTCCAGGGTCCCTCAGGCTGGGCTAGTAATTGTTTTGCAACCCAGGTTCTCTTGCCTTATTGGCTTGTCAGGAAAGTGACTCATAGTTCTAAATGACTTCTAGGTTATGCTTAACTTTTTCAATTGTTGATTAAGCAATGTCAATCCAACCACATAAAGCTCCTTAAAACAGAGGCTTGCACTAAATTTACATGCATGAGAGAAAGCTAGGTGGGAACCGGTCTTTCAACACACCTAGTTTTAAGAATCTAGACACACAAATTACAAAGGTATTTCATCAACTATAACAATTGCGAATTTAACACTGTACAATATTGCATATGGATTTTTTTTTCATTAAGTGGCTCTAACTCTGATTTTTGATTTGGGGGGGAAATACAGTTCGATTTAAAGAGGGAAATAAAAAACTGACAGGATTCGATTCCAATGCTAATTTTCCTTTCATCCTTAGTCTTCCCATCTGTAAATAGAAACAATAATCTCTTCATTACATTTGAGTTCTTGAACATGACGAGCAGTTATAAAAGGCCCTGAGATCTGCAGGTGACTATGGTGGCCGAAGAGTAAAGGGTCACTCTGAGAGTAAAGGCCCGCACTGCACATGGACACCTGGTGGATGATGCTTCCTGTCCCCATTCCCAGGAGCACCTATACACCTTACCGCTTTTCCAGACTGTGAACGAAAATACCTCATCATTTTGAGTCTATGCCTATAGTCTTCCTGTCCAAAATGACCCTCTGAAGAAGGATCTGAGAAAAGAAGAAACTGAGGGAAACATCAGGAAAGAACAGGCAGGCCTAAATGAGAGCTCTGTAAGCTGTTTCCTAAGAGGATCCAAGAAGCCCCACAACCAGAGTTCAAGGGGAAAATTCCGACCAGAACACCTGACTAGCTGTCACAAATTGCTTTACACAGGAAGCTGCCTGGGGCATGGAACAGAAGGTTGTTTTGTTTTGTTTTATAAAGCACTACTCCTGATTAATGAAAATGGAAGACATGAGACCAAAAAGTCACCTTCCTGGAGAAAAGTTAAGTCTGCATTCCTCTGTCAATTTCAAATCCCTTCACCCTGACTTTCACATGACTGCCTTCTCTGAAGGCATCTCTGCCAGGTCTGAAGTTGGCCTTATGAAAGAGTATTCCTGGACGAGAAAGCTATTTTACTTCTTTCCCTCCTCGTTTAGAAATACGTAATGTTTCAGAAGAAAGACTGCCTAAGAGGATCAGTTTGTGGAGAGGGTCTAAGTACCACTTGGCTGGATGCTGTGTCCAGACTTAGAACCCAGGTTAGGTGAGCTTGGGTTCCTAACAGAGCAGGTGTGATACCTGTTTCACTGGTTTGACCAGAAAGACTTTTATTCCAGAATAGCCCTAAAATACTTTTTTTCTCCTACTGGTACATTAGAGAAAGAGTTTGAGCTAAGAATCATAAACTGCAAGAAGCACCAAATGGGAGAAGAGTTTAAGTTTTCCATCCAAGGAGACTAAGGAAAGTTTAGACTATTTCCCTAAAGTGGAAAAACCTCAGGTCTTTTGGGTTCAGTGTTCATCAATGGGTATGCAACTTAATTTCAATGAAAAAAAACCATAATTTTTTTCTGACTCTCTGCATAGAAGTGTTTTTATGTCCTTATGAGTAGGTCTTCTACAGTATTCTTTAAATGTTTCATATTTTTGTACAAAACCTATGATCACCCCTCTGGCAACAGGGGAAACACCATGTTCCACGATGGTCATCTGGTTGCTCCTCGGGAAGTTCCCGGGGAAGAGATGGTATCTCAGGTGGTCATCTAACTAGTCAGACACTTGCATCTCTTTACCCAGAAAATAAGATCTAGGAACAGAAGATGCTGACAGGCTCCTCCTATCTTGTTGCATAGGGTTCAAGTGCAAGTTAGCTGGCTCCCTGCAGGAGTGAGCACCTATTACAGAAATAAGAGTGTGAGAAGTCCTGGCAAGGCACACATGGGACTAGTACAAAGCCAAAAGCAATCTAGACTGGGCTGACCACCTTACCCAATCTCCCTCTTTCATTTACCCACTTCCAGTTGCCTCCAGCTTTCTCTCTTTGATGTCTCATCAAGCAAACCAGCTTTCCTCATAATTCTGATTAGATGTACCAAGAACTGCTCCACACAAAGCCTCTTCAGTGTAACCCAAGAAGGAAAAATGGAAAAGGGGCTTTGAGCTGGATGCAACTCCAACACCAAGGACATGATTCCTTACTTGGGGCTTACCCTTCCTTGCCACCACTTCCTGTCCTCATGGCCACCATGTCTACCCTGTACCCTATCACCCAGGAAAGAGGCCCATGGACTTGGCCTGGAGAAGTTCACACTCTGATCTTCTCATGCTGGGCCCAGCACATGAACAGTAGTTCTTGAAAATCTCAGCATTTATTTACTTCTATCGCATGGCAGAGTTCTGTAAATTTTCTAATAGGGCAAAACCCAAAAGACTGGAAATTCCTCTTACAACCTGTTTTGAGTGCAGCAATTCTTATCCAGACTCTCTTAGTTATTACTTTTGTACGTGCTCTAGTGGCCACAGCATTGAACTGCCTGCCTCCTTTACGAACAGAATCTAAATTCTGATAACCCTATTAATGCAACAGATTGTTAACTTATACTAAAATAACAGTGATGAGAGACAGGAAGACCCAACTACCCACACTGCTTCATACATTTTCAAAGTAAAAGCTCATTCTGGCTAGAAAAATAGAATAAGGGCCTCTTTCGATGAAATATTCTATGGAAAAGCTGCTTTAATTTTGAAGTCTCCAACACTGTCCTCAACCTCCTCTTGACATAGACCCAAAACTACCATACAGCAGGTACTTGGGTCCCTAAAAGACACTCTGGGTTTCACAATTCTGCATCAAGACTAAGATAACAAGGGCTGATGACCATCAAATCTATTTTAGCTGAATTCTGACCGAACAGAAAGGTTGCTGCTTTGAGATCTGATAAAAAAGTCTTTCTGTCTGTCTCTTTTTCTCCTGGGAACTTCCTTAGGGGAGTAATTCAATTCTTCAAGTTTCCAAAAGTTTTTAATCCTCAACTTGTCTTTACCCTGCAGCCTATTCTCAGACTCCTATTGATCAAACTATAAAATGTTCTTACCCTTTCAAGAGCCTTTCTAGATGGTGACTCACAGGCCCTCAAGGGGTTTATACCTCGCATTCTTTCATCAAGTCCCAACTGGTTTGATGTAATTCAGAGAAGGGGTGTTACTGAGGTGCTGGGAGGCTTTGCAGAACTCCATCTTCAATGCCAGCACAGGGTTCAATGTGCATATTTGTGTAAAAGACATGTTTTTCACTGAGGCTTTAGATTCACTTAATATAATTTGTTTAAACAAAAAAATTCAGTCCTATTATATTTGTTTTTCCAATACAAGTGGCTCTCAGTGCATACATGATTGCAGTTTGCTTTGTCTCTTATCTGAACTTGTATTTGGTAAGACTAAACAAATCAATGTCCAGTAAGACTGTTTGTCTCAAAAGGGGCCACAGAAAGGTAATAACAAGTATAGTTTTTGAAGGTGCCTTGTCATCATGGCTAACATGCTATTTTTATGAAACATTAAAAAGACAGTTGGACTGATCAAATTTTGAAGTTATACAAATGTTATGTTCACCACTCAGATCTACAGCAATGTTTTGAAAAATATATATATAAATAATACTTGGAAAGAGGCTTTGATTTCGAGTCTCCTCAGGAGCTCTAAGAGAAATACAACCATATAATATTTTGCAGTTCACTTTAATAATCATTAATATATGATTAAACTTACCTAAACAGTTAAGTGGAAGGAATATTAACTACCCTTGAGTATAAAATTTTCTCGGTAAGTTAAAAAAGAGGACCAATTTATGGGAAAGGCTTTAAGTAATATGAAGTAGAACCAAAGTCATTTTTTCGTTAGGAAATCAATGATCAAGCCTCAGTTCATGTAAAAGGAATCTGATAAAATACCTAGTGGCACAAGACTGAAATAAAATTGTATTCTAAAAGCTTATCTCTTATGATAAAATACTGCAATGCTATTTATAAAAGAGCTATTTCTGATGCCAATTTGGGGTGCAGGTTCTAGGTAGCAATCCGGCAGGTTTAAGCCATTAGGATACCGAGGCACCTTGCTTCCGATTAGGAATGGCTATGGCCGCTGCAGGAGCAGCAACTGGCCTCGATAAAAGAGTGACTAAACAGAGAAGCAAATGGGGACCTGCTTCGGTTAAATATTAGAGAGGCTGAGGCTTGCATTCCCACTAAAGGAAAAGATGCATTAAACCAAAGTTGTCTGCTCCAGCAATATTTGCCTTCCAGTGCTACTTTCTTTGTTTAAACTGAGAGGATGCAAAGCAAGCTATATTGATCAATGTTAGGGTAAGAAGGGAACCAACAGGGTTTTAGCAGGGGGGAAAAACACAAATGTCCCCATAAGATTGCAGTTTCGGATTAGACCTTTGCAGTCGTGTGCTGTGAGAAAGCAATATCACTCTAGAATTACATCAGCTTTGCAGTGACTTGTTGAGAGAGGCTTATATAAATGGAGTTCATACCTATTCATTATCAAGGTTGGAAAGTTTTGGCAGCACACTTCAGAGTCCATGTACATGTTGATCATCGAGGTTGCCATGGTGAATGTGAAGGAGTCAACTCAAGTTCAGTGAAAACGAGAGAGTGAAATTGCCCGCTTTTTATATCCATGCAAATTCTCAAATGTTAAGACATAAACTAATCACCCAACCTTCAGATTTGTTTCCAAGTTGCATAGATACAAAAACAATCTTATAAATACAAAAAAAACCTAAAGCACTTTTTCATACTTCAAATGCACTTGAGTTAACAATCTGTCATAGTCAAAT